TTCTTTTGATTTGTCTTTTTACATTGTTTACCTTTACTGTTTAGTCCATTATTAGTGTTATCCTTTTGGCGTGGTTTGGTATTTATACATCCCGCCATTGTGTTATTGTGCTATGGAAATTTTTTGCATTCTTGTCTTTCATTTTTGCTTTTGTGCTTTGTCTATAGAGCGGCTACATGCCATTTTGTTTTTCTTTGTTGACATAGTTGTTTGTTTTTATAGTGATTAAGACTAACACAATATTGACAGCTGTACCCCAATTTGTGACATTTTTACCTCCTATGTCTGTTTTTTTTTATCGCACATTGTTCTCAATATAATGGAATTTTATTCGACTGTCATACAAGTGAGAGGTTTACATTTTTTTTAATTTTATTACTAAATTGGATCTTCTCTAATCATCAACAAAGTTAGTAAATCTCGAAAATAAATAGTCACGAAGTCTGCAAAAAAATGTCTAAACGTATAAAAGTATCCGCGAAAGTAATTTGGTTTACAATTGATATAAAAAAAAAACAACAACAACAACAAAAACACAAAAAATGTACCTTTGGTTTATCGTTGAAACATTTCATATAAAATTTTTTAAAAATGGATAACATATATAATAATCCCTCGATTCTTACACTTTCAAATAAGAACACCTTCTTATATCTATATACAATCAAACAATATTTCCCAAGCTGAACAGCCAGCAGTATGGATAAATACTAACAGGATATAAAAATAGCATTCAAAAGTCCACCAAGGAAATACAACAAAGTAGCAACGATACAGAGACAAACAATGGTTAATGAAATATGAAACAGGCCAACGGTCTTACAACACAAATTCCCCTTAAAAAAGCCATCCTAACGGTAGGCATTTCTTTCTCTATTAAAAACAGCTGTCGTCAAACAAATGATACATATTGAAATAAGGAGATATGATTATGATTGTCCATTGGACAAATATCAGTCAATGACTAAAGCACAAATACATAAACAAACACTAAATGTGTCAAAGAGACAACAACTAGTCTGATACTGCCGTTAACAAAATACAATCCACTGGTAAGACATATTTAAATATGGCACTAGTTAATATTTCCTGTCCAACCATAAGAGATTAGCAAGTGCAATAAACCCAATTGGTATATAGAATTTCCTTATCCCTAATGCATGTCAGGAAATAGAACTTTTTTGTCGATTTTTTTTTTTAAAGCGTTGAAATTTTCCTCCCGAGTAGGCCACAAAAACGAGATAGCAGTAAAATGGTGCAAAATGTAGACTTTAAACACAATTTACATATTAAAGAATCAAATAGAGCGCAGGGTTCTATAAACCAAAAATGCATATAAGATTAGCGATTTGCTATAAAAACTTAAGGATCTTATTGTAGAAACATGTACTTTGTTTCTGGTTGTAAGAACCAATTGATAGACAATGCCACAATCTCTACTTTTTTGGGGGATATGCAAACTTTCTAACATTTGCTCATGTCTGAATGTGAAAAGAAAATGAAAGTACAAACAAAACGATTTATCTTCTAAAACTTGCAGTCATAAATCGCCGCTTCCAATTGTTTCCTCAGCATTTATAATTACCCTCATCGTGTTTCTGTAATGCTAAATATATTTAAATTAGGGTGAGTTGCAGCAGTTTTAACTTGTCTTTTGGCATTATTTGTCCCCTAAGCAATAGACAATCATATTCATATCTCCTTATTTCTATATGTATCAATTTTTTGACGACAACTGTAATTAATAGAGGAAGAAATGTCTACCGTTACATTCAGATCACCCGTTATAAAAATCAAAAGTTCATATTTGCGATGCGATATTTGTTTCAGTTTGGAAATTACACGCATTATTGAAGTACGCCTGGTGCACTTTTTTCTATGTAATACTAAAAAAAAGCGATGGAAACAATTACGTTGGACGGCAAAATCAGTTACAAAATTGAAAATCATTGCACTAGTTTGGAATAGTAAAATAGTGTTATACCAATGACCATGAAATACCCTTATGATTTACAAAATAAATGAACACTGCAAACTAATAAAGTATAATGGGGCGGGGGAGTCATTTTCTCTAGGGTACTTAGGCCAAATTGGTGTGTGCTCAACCAGATTACACCTTACCTTCAAAATAACTTTAACCAATTCCTAAACCCCTAAATTATGAAAGATTCCCTTAACTTTAAGTAAAGGTATGCACGATGGGAGCTACAAAAATGAATAAACTTAGAGGCAATATTACGAAATTTCTTAATCGAATACGTTTAAATTCCAAGAAATACAAAAACCTTAAAAAGATAAATCGATCACACCTTCCTAAAATATGTTTAAAGGAGATCATGTCCTCATTTTTGTCTAACTTTTCTGGCAACCCAACCCAGTATATTTTAAGGCGAAAAAGGTTTCCCTCCAGCGTTCTTTTGGTTACCTATTTTTATCGTGTGAAAATAAACATGACTAAAATCTATGTTACTTGTTCATTCATTTCATCCACCCAGCACAATGATTTTCTCTGTGAATTGGGTATGCTTAAACAATCTGTCCCTGGACGTGATCAAAACCCTATCAATTAATCGATCTTTTCCATGTTTTTGGGATAAGAAGACTTCCTCCACTATTAGTTTAAAAGTTCTTTCCTTTTCGTCACAACGTTACACTCCTCTGAAACTACTCGTCCCACTGGCTGTGAAAGCAAACAGCACGCGGTACATCAAACAAGATCCTGCATATATTCTCTCCCAAGGGGAGGGAACGCTATTTAATACCACATAAATCGTTCTCAGGTCTGTAAACTGCAATGAAAATCTCATGGCAAAAATGCATTTACATGTAACTGAAATAAAAGTCCTTCCAAAAACATTAATGTAATTATTTTCTGAAAATAGGATACGTTTTGTGCTTAGCATAGTAAGCTCAAATCTATTTGGTAAACATTTTAAATTCATGAAAAGAACCGTTAAATTTCATTGGTTAGCATCTAACCTTTGACATGTTTCATCGCCGATTAGTATTACAAATCATATATAGCCACGCCTTACCTATTAATATATTTGATGCTCTGGAAGCTGTGATGGTAAGCACGTTATGACGTTAAATAAATACACCACATGATAATCAACTCTGATAAAAAAAAATCACTACAGATACAGTTGGGTGTAGACCAAGCATTACATAAAGTAAACGCACGTTAACGCCGCGTGCACATATTTTGTTAGTTAACTTCATTTTTCGCGTTTACTATAATTACTTTAACGCGGTCTAAATGGAAATTTCTAATGTCTACCCGAGTACACGTGCGTTTACTCTGTGTCCGTTTAGTCAGTTGTAAACGGGCGTTTACTTCAGATTTCACAAGTTTATTTTCACGTGCACTTAAAAGTAAACGGGCGTTTACTACAGATTTCACAAGTGTATTTTTGCGTGCACTTGAAAGTAAACGCGCGTTTACTTTTCGCGTTAACTGATTGTGTAAATGATGATATAAACTTCGTGCTCATTTGACATTTATTTTATTTTGTTAAAACGACTTTTATCTTAATATTTTACGTATATGTGTTTAAAACCGTAACAATTCAAAAAGACTTTTAATTCGAAATATTAACTTTTATTAATTTCAAAAAATCAGTTCCAATAACTTTAAGTAACGGATTTGCACTTTTTTGTACATTAGTACTTCTTGGTCATCCTACTGACCGTCTTGGTTTTGTACTAATTTGAAGCAATATTAGTAAAGAACCTCCAAAAGACAAAAATATAAAGTATCTTTCCACTCAATTACCTAAATTTCTATAAGGTCTTACATCTCATATATTTCAGTGAATTTGGGATTATTAATTTTGTTTAAATAAGATTGATTGGTTGATTAGTTGATTGGTGTTTAACGCCACTTTCAGCACTATTAGTTATTTTATGGCGATCATATTTATTGATGGAGGAAGCCAGAGTACCCGGACAATACTAGTGAATTAAGATAGGAGTCAAACGCAACTGACACAAATGGACGACTTCAAACTAGAAATTATGAAAGACGTGATGAATTCAACTTTCTGTTTGTCAGCAGGAGCATACCAAGCGCTCCATCGTATGACGTTTACATATCTCAGTTGATACGTTACACTCGTGCATGTTTACACAATACCGAATTCATGAACCGGGATGTGCTCGTTATACAAAACTTGATTCAACAGAGTTATAAGGAAGAAGATTGATATTGATCCTATAAAGTTTAAAGGTCACCATCACGAAATTGGTGGATTAATAACGATGTGTCGAGGTCTAAACTCAACTACGGACATACTTTGTTATCCAGTTTAGATCTTTAAATACCAATATAGTCGTCAAACTGTAAAATTTTTCCATTGTTTCTTTTTCCCAATTGTGACATATTGACTACGTGTATATATATATAGATAATTGCTGATCATCGGATCTTGTTTGGAATACAAGAATGGAACATGCGCAAGCGCGAATATGAGAATACTTTTTTACCTTACCTTCTCTATCTCGTTTGTTTATATGTCATTTAAACCACGCGGGGGAATTTTGTAATAATATATTGAAAAATTTGAAGACTAATAAATTGTAACCATCAATATTATATTCTAAGAGAAGACCATCTAAAATTCTCATCCTTTTTGTGATATTGTTTGCTCATAAAATATAAAAAACCTATCGTGAAGTAAGCAAATGACTGATCCGAAAGTGTTCCCCGTAACCACTCATTACTATCAAACTGCTGACCAAAGATAAAGTCATATAGTTTGTAGCATTTAAGAAAAGTCTACGGAAATATTTGATAACTTTTCGTTAAAGAACGGGAGTTTGATAAGATGAATACAACATTGTCCCTACTCATTTACTTGGCGAACAATTACGTTGACTAATTTTGTTGTGTCCCGAAATAGTGGTATTTTTAAAGTTTTTTTTGTTAAAACAGGATCTGTCATTAATAGGTTAACCCGATATGCATCGTCGATTAGAATGTAAGTCAATTGTAGAATATACTTCCTTATGAAGTAAACATGAAATTCTTATTTTTAATAGGAGTATTTTACTTGATCTTGATACATGGTATGTACATATTCACAAATAAAAATTGCTAAAACGGAATATAAATATTAATTAGAATTTTTCAACCGATATAGTGTTAAGGCCAACCACTGTTGGCATACATGCCTCTCCCTAAAATGTAGACTTTCAAATGTAAGAGGAGACTGTTGTTCTGATCATTAATTTCCGGTCTACAAATTAATTACTGTTTCAACTTAACAACAATGATACAAATTATTTAAAATCAAATTTAATATTTGCTTTCTAGACGTTTTTAAACAACCAAAGTGAATCCTGAATCATGGCCTCGTAAAAATTTCTAAAATGCCAATCATGATAGAGGCATATAAATCGTAACAAAATTAAATTATTTAAGATGTTTTTTTTTCAACTGTAATAAAAATAACATTAAATTGTCTCAAATGACCCCTACTAAAGATGTAAATATATATATATATAAGTTTGTTTGAGTGTACTTAAATTCAACAATTTTTAGGAGTAAGTCGAAAATAAACTGACAACGCCATGGCTTAAAAAAGAAATCTAAAGACTGAGCAACATGACCCCGCCAAAAAATAGGGGTGATCTCCACATGTGACACCCGTCGTGTTGCTCATGTTTTCTAAATTATTGTATTCTACTGGGAAGGTATTATATAAACTACGAAAAGATCACATACTTACACAGTCTGATGTTATCAGTGAATGGTTTCAAATTTATGAAAAGACGTTTGGAAATAGAATAATTTTTATGTCTTTCTAAATATAAATACGAATCATTTTCTACAGTTGGGGGAATTCGTGGATTTATTCAAAAATATAATTTCATATTAAATGTTCTCCAGAGTAATCATAAGAAAGTATCATTTACTGTAAATCGACTTTAAAGATTTTTATTACTGATTCTAATATGCATAATAAAACGTCACATATGTTTTACCTACGTCTTTTAACAATGTATGCCCACCCTTTTTTTAGGAAAATGCCTGTACTAAGTCAGGAATGTGAGTTGTTTTCCACTCATTCCGTTGTTTGATAACGTATCATTTTGTCAGTTTTCATGGACTTCATCTTTTTGAATTTTCCCTTGGAGTTCGGTAATTTTGTTATACTTTCTTATACACTGTAGTGTGACCACCAAACAGACAAAAAAAGAAAGTTATAACACTACTGGGAGATTTACAGAGTTAAGTTATAACACTACAGGGAGATAACTCTGTAAAAATCAGCTGAACGTTTTAATCACGTTCTATTGTTAAGGAAATATTAAGCTCCTCAATAATCAAAATTAGTGTTTGTCAAACTGCTATATATATAATGAAATTTTTTCGATAAAGTGTGTGGTTCAAATTTTTTAAATTTTTTTATATTTTTGTCAAAGGGTCAAAGTAAATATTTTGTCAAAATGTTATGAAAATTAAACAAGCCAAATAAATTTTAGTCAAGATGTTTGGTATCACCTAAAAGCAAGCGGAAATGTGTTAATTTACAGTGCTATGTATATCAAACAAAAATTTTGCTGTAATCAAAGCATAAAACTAATGTAATGTTGATAACGACGTTCAAATATTCAAAATATGTGCCCCGGTAAAACAATAGAATCACCAGAAATATTATACTAACTGCTCTGATTGATTTGCAAGTAAATATATATACATACATATTTGTTTCCTGGTAACCTTTTCACAGTAGGTATAGTGTCCGGCGGAGATCGTGTTTTTTCGAGTGAATTATTCAACTTTTTTTCGATCAAAATAGTTAGAAAGCCAAATAAATACAAAGTTGAAAAGCATTGAGGACCAAAAATTCCAAAAAGTTGTGCCAAATACGGCTAAGGTAATCTTTGCCTGGGATAAGAAAAAATCCTTAGTATTTTGAATAATTCATACTTTTGAAAATAGGAAATTTATAAAAATGACCATATCATTGATATTCATGTCAACACCGGAGTGCTGACTACTGGGCTGGTGATACACACGGGGACGAAACGTCCACCAGCAGTGGCATCGACCCAGTGGTGTAAAAAGTTATCAAAGGTACCAGGCTTATAATTTGATACGCCAGATGCGCGTTTCGTCTACATAAGACCCATCAGTGACGCTCAGATCAAAATTGTTAGAAAGCCAAACAAGTACAAAGTTGAAGAGCATTGAGGACCGAAAATGATAATTTGTTTTATCGTTTTATGAATCGAAAACAAGAAAATTTTTTAAATACTACTATTCAGATGAGGAATAAGATCAAACGTATGTCATACTTGGTCACACAGCAATAAAACATCATGATAGCATGATCTACTAAGAGAGGCCTAGGACCAGCCAAGCCCCCTCCCCCCCCCCCCTCCCTTCCCAAAAAAATCACTTAATCCGCCCCTGTACTATTTTCAATTGACAATAGATTTTGAATGGAATATATATTAAGCAATGAAATGAATAATCTATAAGCTTTAATATGTTCCTTTCAAAATAATTATAAGTAACAAATTGTATACAATATCGTACACCTCGTGTATCTTATTCATATCTTGCGAAGTGTTCCGTAGATATACATTGGTAACTGTAATGTCTAGATAAAGATCCGTATTTTTCATTTTTTTAAAGCACTGCTGGCCCGAGAACACAGTTATTTCGTAGTGCATTTCTTTTAGACAATAAAGTCAAATTTTACAGTGTAGTGTACTACTATTGGGACAAATAATATCAAAATTATAGAAAAGTCTACCAGCTCTAACTCAAAATATTGATAATTCTATGTTAAGGGGGTCTAAAATTCAGTTTAACAGCTTCAGACATACTAGTTTTTGACCTTTTTTAACTGGACCAAATCACTACGTAACATAAAGATTCAGCACCAATTTTTTTTTACATGTAATTTCATCCTCTGACTTAATATTTCATGCATAAAATATAAAGAAATAAATTTGGAAAGTTTATGCAAAATTTGCAAGTTATACACTGTCCACACTAGGTACTATATTTGTAGACAACGAAAATCTAAGGACGATAACTGTGTCCTCAGACCTGCTAACTGATGGAAAGGAAGCTATCATGATGTTTTATTGCTGTGTGACCAAGTATAAAATACGCTTGATCTTATTCCTCATCAGGTTAGTAGTATTTAAAATGTTTTCTTGTTTTTCATTCATAGAACGTTAAAACAAACTATCATCTAGACAAATAGTAAATGAAACATTAAGGATATATTTTCTGTTAGAAAAATACACATGCCCTCTTTATACACACAATGTACGTACGTCTCAATCCTAAAAACGTCTGTGGCCACACTCGAAAAATCCCGATCAAATCACTCGAAAAAAAGAACGCGATCCCAGCCGGACACTATACCTACTGTGATTTTTGTCGTACATTTGACGCTCCAATGAAATCAAGAATAGTGATACTGAATGGCGGAACATCACAAAAATGATTTTGTCATAGGAAAGGTGGGTCCGGTGCACCAACCGATGACCAGTCATGTTCCTACAGAGAAGACAACTTCGTATATATATTTCGGTATCAACAAATATATTTGAATGTCAACTATAAATTTTTTTTTCTATATACAACTTCAATTATTGCTAAATGACCAGGGTCAATCTACTAGCTGGCCAAAGTTTTATATGTGTCTGACTATTGCTTCTTTTCGACTGTAGAATAACAATATATTCAAATACTGAAATTATTTGACGTACACAAACGGTTCATTACACTCTTCGATTCGTGTATTTTTTAAATGATTTCACTTGAGGTTATTTAAGGCATATTAATAAAAAAAGAATTTTGTACATAAACAAGGAAAACTACCCTTAACAAAATAAAGCTTAATCGGATGATCTTCATAAAAAATATTATAAGACATTGGTTTGAAATTAAGCAGCAATTTAGATTTGAATAAATAGGATGACTCATAGGAATTGTATATTAGTCTTATAAACATGATATAAGGTAACTCTTCTTGATAAACAATTTAAGTGTGCAACACACTTTACCTGTAATTGTTCTAAATGGCAATCATGCATTTTTGCAATGTTGTCTTATTTAATCATCTCAACAAAGAGCTTCATATCTAAGGTGCAGCTGATTTACAATACATCTAAATATATTTTTCTTGTACTTAACAATTGTATGTTGTAAGAATTCTTCAATTTACTATTCATTTGGTATGCTGACTTATATTGCTCAAATATAACACATAGCAAAAAGGGAATTAATTACACACAGGTCGGGACGTTTTCTTTTATGTCAATTTTATTTTGTTTTTTATATTGCTTTTAAATAATATTTTTATATACGCGTATGTATAGCGATAAGTCGTTGGTTGGTTTGGGGTCGTATCGTGAAGTATAAATGATCTTGGAACAATTTTCGTGCTTTCGAAATTTAAATCTTCATATGTTGTGTGTCATACCCTACAGCATCATTAATACATGCAGCCGACACTAGCGACTTTAGCACTGCTATTTGATATTCATTAATTGATGATGCACATAATTTCAAGGGACATTTGCAGGAGTGGTCAATGCATGAAATGCAACTGATGAAGTTTACTATCATATTCATTTAGTTGTGGTTTTTTTTTTACCGAGAAAGGACCTAAAATTTATGACAACCACGAACAAATAAACATTATGTATCATTAAAACTTTCGTAGAAAAAAAGGTTGAAATGGAAAATAATATATGATGGACGGCATTATTAAATTATTAAATTATTAAATTAAACATACCACAACACCATATGTACATGGTAAATAGTTTTAAAAGAATGTAATTATGATTTTAAATACTCGAATATTTTAGTTATATCGAAGATTCGAACACAAAACGGAGGTAAAAACTCATGTTTATACACAGGTTGTGAAGCTTCTTTATTCAATTGATACTAACTTTTTCCTGCTTCTGTTATAACCGTTATTCTTATACCTGTATTGCAATTGTTTACTTAAGCTTATCAATTAGCCTTTATACTAACAGCATTGTTATATATATTTTTTAGCAACACCGTATTTTGATATTTCTCTGCTTTAACAACAGGTTGGCTACACTGATTCTGATATTCATCCATTAATCGCAGTGATCCATGTTTTTTTTTTATTTTACCTACAGCTCTTGGAATGTATAAAATTTCAATAATATAATGGGTATGGTGTAATGGTGCATGATTTGTAGTGTAAGAGGGATAGTATGGTTCATTATAGATTTCTAATTGTTTTGTATTTCAGGTTGTTTCTTAAAAGATGTATTGAAAGGTTTAAGTCCCTTAAACACATTAGATTAGTGGTTATTTTTAATGATGAAAATCATGTATGATACAAATAGGAATGAGTAAAGGGAAATGTTGTGATGGCGTAATGATGTATGATGTAACGGTATATGGTCTAATGATGTATGGTGTCGGTATATGGTCTAATGAGGTATGGTGTAACGGTATATGGTCTAATGATGTATGGTGTATGGTACAAGTGAGATATTAACGCAATTCGAGTACTGTAAGACATTTATAATGTGTGTTGTTTTATTAATTCTTGTAGGTCAGTTAAAAAAAGAAAGGCGGAATCTTCAGAAATTAAGGGGACATTTAACACTCATTAGTCGAATGCCATTTAACGATTTAAACAAACAATAATTCACAAACCACTACATAGAAAACTAAAATACTGAGCAACACTCATGTTGAAATTTCAGAAGTGTTTGTGTAATAAGAATTTGTTTAAACCATATTGACTAAACATAAAATGTCTGTGTTATTTTATTTGCCTTTTGTGAAAGTCCCTTCAGTCGAGATAACCCCAATACATATGCATATATAGTTGCATGAACTTTTAATGTTTAAATAAAAGGAGACGTAGACTTTATTTGAATGAGACGACATCTAAAACACCACAGAAAATCATGAATATATAGGCTAATTTGTTAAGAAAATTACCTGACGATATTGAAAAATGGCATAGCAAACAAAACCCGAAAAGGCTAAAAAGGTCAAAATATCCACAAAGATAACAACTGAAGAGGTTCATGATTTTTGACAGAAACAATGATATTTCGTGAAGTTTTCTGTGACAAACTTACAGAACAATAAGATATAATTGTTTATGTAAAATGCTATTGTCTGCAAAGCTAAAACCAATAATAGTGTTTCTGACGTTAGAATTAAACATAGTTACAAAAAAGGAGATGCAGAATGAACATTCACTATGGATTAACAGAAACTCTTTAAAGATATATAAAAATCCAAACTACGGATGCATGTATGTTTGTCATTACCTTGTTAGTGTGGTGCAAATGGTTTTTCACATACATTTTTCAAATCGTCTCACATCGTGTTGTCGATTCGTTGTTCTCACTGAGTTTCATGCATTGTGCGTTTTATTTCAAGGCAATACGACCTGTTTCACATATGTAGAAGGACAAGTACTTCCATCCGGAGCCTTTGGTTGTTATCTTGATAAGGGAAGATATTGTTCGAAGCATACTTTTTGAAGTATCCGCTCCTCATATACGTCTATATTGCTTATAAACATGTCTTCAGTTTCCAGGATGACTTTGTTTCTGCATTTTCTGTTTAATATTGTCTTTGGAGCCAGTGACAATAATATTTGAAATAAAAAAAAATATAACATAAACACAACATTTGACATTATATATTTGCATGTATGAAAAGAATTGTTGACAATTAGTAAGTTGGCAGTAGTGAATTGCAAGATACATAGACATCGATCAATATTGTCATTTGTACGTTTCTGGTTCGTTTAAATGTCTTTGAAATGGAAGTATTTGGCTTTAATTATTCAGTCCCGTCTGATTATAGAGCTTTTCACTTGCTATGGTACTATGTACTTATACATCCTTTTAGCTGTCAAACATTTGAGTTTATATCGAGCTTTTCACTCGCTATGGTACTATGTACTTATACATCCTTTTAGCTTTCAAACATTTGAGTTTGCGGATTCCTGATGAAGTTAACCAATGAAAAACGCTTTGGAAACATTAAATTTATAATGTATTATTTTCATATTACATGTCTTTTTTATATCGTAGGACAGATATCATTAAAAGTAAATCCCTTAGATGGAACTGCTGTTTACGGGGATGTCTCATACAAAATACAGTGTACTTTAACTGGAACTCAGGCTACAGCATGGTCTTGGTCAAAGAGTTCAATCACTGGTGGTACAACAACGACAATATCTAGTGGAAGCAAATACAACATTGTGATGTATCCCAATGCTACGAATTTAACTATCAACAGTATTGTGGAGAATGACGAACATGATTATTTCTGTCAAGCTACCATTGGTATAGGATTACAATTCCAGACACGATCAAGGCTTATTGTCGATGGAGGTCAGTTCTTGTCAGGTGTAGCTGACTGTAAATGAGCTCTATTTTTGAAATAAATGTTTATGTAGTAAAATCTGATTATTTAATGCATAACAGCCGGACAGCAAATCCCTGATTTGTCAGTTTAAACCCCGGATTTATTATCCGAGAATCAATTGGAGATAAATTCTACGAAAGCCGTCAACAGACAACAGAAAAATAATTCTCCGCGGAGGACGACCCGGTAGGAAATCGTGAATTTGTGAAATTTTAAGAAACCAAACGTAACATGAGCGGCATACTTGATATCATAAGTTTTAAAATTATTTGAAAAATTTAAGAATTCAAAAAATGTATCGTTGAAAAAGAAATTCAAATCATTAATTTTCAATCTTCGGTACCGCCATTTTTCAATTTCGACGGTCATTAACCCGAATAATTCAGACTCTCCCCGTAATCGATTTCTCCTACTTGCAAGGGCCTGAATTCCTAACACGATAAAAAAAACTTCACGAATCCTAGATTATGATTGGTGCCCTGTAGAAAAGGTCACCAATTAGCAATTAGCTCAATTTATCCGAGCTTATTCCGAAGGATTGATTGAAGATTTTTCATTGTCGATGCATTCAAGCGTTAATGAAGTAATCGTAGATCTGCGGAATATAACGACTGAATTACTCTGGTAAGACTGTCATTGACAATTTTCAGCTCGGTACGAATTGACACATGCCTGGTATACCTAAGAAAAATAAATATGACTGGTTTATTTTGATAAACTGGAACATGGAGAACAGAACTGGGATGGTCACATGACGTAACCATTCGTTTTTTACACACGAACACAATTTCAGTACAGATCACAATTTGGTAAGGCCGCGCAGGGGCTCCCCATTATTTTTTCTTAAAACATCTCTGCACTTGACCAACACAGCTCAGAAATATGACAAACTTGTCACAGAGAAAACGACAGTCAACATGTCATTGAAATGAATAAAATCTTTTATTTTTTGTGATTTTTTTCCCTTTTTCATGCTCCAATCATATCTTTCAGTACACAAAATTACTAAAAATTCAATAATATCCCCTTAATCAGTGCATTTTTTTGGGGGAAGTCCAGGTGTAAATTATTTTGATATGTTAGCATATCAGAATTTGTCCTGAATGACATGACTCCAGTGTAAACATCCTTAGATCTGATATATCAAAGATAAAAGACAGAGGAAAAACAGTTTGAATAGAGTCAGATCTTTATTTTGTAGCTTACATATGTAATTGCAAGAGAATGCAGATGATGTCACATCATAATATAATATTGTTTCTGCTCATTCCCTGTTCATCTTCAAGCAATCATTAATTAGTTGCTCCATAAATAATTGTTCAATCTGCATCCAGTTTACCTAAATCAATCTATATTTATGATGATTTATTCCATTCTATGTTTATAATAGTTTAGCTGCATGTACCTGCATTTGATGAGGATTTATAGGTCAACATGGTAATTATTTTTTCATTCTTCTTTATTACACATATTTAAGTATATGTTACCAGAGATGGTTTCATATGGCTCTGGTGGTTTAATTTAGACTTAAAAAAAAAGCTTTTCATACCCATTATATATATATATATTTCTTAGTAGCTTTCACACCCAGAATACATCCTGATACTCTTGGCATTGACAATAACTGTTATTGCAGATATATGTCCACATGTTCTATAAAGTAACTTGACATTTCTGTTGGATCCTGAAAGTGCATTTTAACTATTTTTTTTTTGGAAACTCAGAAAAACAAGGTATCTCATTTCCTTTATCACATTCTTAAGCCTTCAGCAAATGAAGGTCTGGTGGTTTCATTTAATGATAAGAGTTGAAGATTTTGTTTGCTTTTGAAAAATATGAAATTAAATTTGTCTTGTTAAATACAGACATGACAATTCAAGGGAACTATAAATGGTGGATGAGTATCCATGTCATATGACAAGCTCTATATCTCCTAAGTCCTGAAAAATTCTGAATGATTAAAAACAAACACAACTACATTTTATAATTGTTTTTTTTAATATTCCCCTTTTCTGAAATGAGACAATACACAACAAAACAAATGACAGCTAGGTTTGATATCACTGTCAGGCCAAAGGTCAAAATATAGTTAGAATGAAAAACCACTGCAAAGAAAATAATTCTTCTACAAACATATGTAACGCCCATTTTGAATGTAAAAAACAACTTTAGTTCACAGATATAACTGACATTGAGTCTTAACAGAAATAATACTTTCTCTCACTGTTAATCCTATGGGTCCTGAAACTTGACAGATGCCCCCATAAACGTATTTACACTTTTTGGTATTTAGCTGATTTTTGTCTCCGAATGACCTTAGATCTGTCTCCGAATAATCTTCTGACGTCAAGCAACAATCATTTTTCGATTATGACGTCAAATTTTTTAAATTGTGATTTTTAAGTAATGGCGTAAAAATTTGCATATACGTCTATTCCAATGATTAATTATAGTTTCAATTTTATTTTTTTCATATTTACACATTTTATTATCTCATACAGATAAACTATTGGATATTATGCCCCAGAAACACTGTTTCCTTTACTAAAATTGAGTGAAATGCTTATTTTCTCTCGTTTCTGCTCAGCCGTCCCTTCAACGACTTTTCATTCGAGTTCTCTCCCTTTGGTCGGTCGCCAATTTTGGACCTGTTGAATTGACACACGGCCGGTTTACCTGGCGAGTTTTGGTAACAATAGGCATTTCATGTTCATAATATCAGGAGGTATCATCTATCTTTAAAAAAATACGTTACCAATTCGGGTGTCATTTCAATTTACATTTATTTACGGTGTCGCGGCACGTTTTTCATCTTTGCCAATCAAATAATCAAGGAAATTCTACATTTTCATTCTTAAAGAATAACGTAGTGAAAGTTTGAAACCTGCCTATCAAATGCTTTATTTGGTTAAGCACGGTAAATACATTAAATATCTTTACGACGTCAATTTCGTGGCGTCATTGCCGTTGCTAAAAAAAATTTTAAACTGAAAATCACGTGACCAGAATAATAAAATCGACGCCATAATGAGATTTGCTGTACTGCTGTAAACAGCTATTCCAAATTGTGAGTAAATGCATTATAAATGTGGTCGACCATAACATTCATGATCAGACACATTTCATATAGAAAACCAATGACAAGATTTCGTGAAGATATGCTGTTACAAGTAAAAATAAGTTTACTGCAATTTTGAAAATGATTTTGTATGAAAGACATTCCTATGTGTCCCTTAAAGAATTTTTTTCAAATGCATAAAACCAAAATATTTAGTTCCTACTATACTAAGCCGGATGCCACATGTGAAGCAGGTTACACTTACCCATCATATATCACCTGTAATCACCCCGATGTTTTATGTAGTTCATGATACGGAATATTAAGTTATCTATCTGCTTTTTATGTATTGTAGACTGCTAATTGTATTTGAAGTGGCGGTGTAATTTTTTCTCAAGTTTATTAATTTTGATTGTCCTTTCGATAGTTTTCAATTTCGTTTTATTTTCTACACAGCATGCATTATTTTCCTATCTCCAGTTCACTATATACTCCGTGTTGAAATAAACCTTTAAACAATTTCAATGAGATTGACAAGTTGTGACAGCTTCAATTTGAAGATAGTTCTATATTGGTTAAAACCGTATTATCTGAATACTTCATACATAAGAACACTTCTATTATGTACAATTATATAATTTAGCTAGAAAAATACACAGTCATAAACACAAACACAATTACAAAAAAAATGAAAAATGCTGGGAGTTGTCGTTCAATCATAAACATTTACACATGACACACATAGTACAATCATAAATAGATATTTTCATAATCGAAAAATACACAGAAATTGAACACACCTTTAAGATAAAAATATTTATTAACCAGTGCCTGCATTAGATTATGTTTGTTTGATAAAGAGTTTGACTTTTGTTTTGCATAAATACCTAACATTCGAGTGCTACAGCTTTTATGTGTTTATATAAGTTAAAATTTGAAACATATTAAGTCAGCATAGGTTATACAACTGTATTATGCTATATATTATGATTAACATTTAATTGGTCACTGTTCACCGATTGCCTACATTTCAAATTTCAGGTAATGTTGTCTATTCTTTTAAGCAAGATTTGATGATGAACAATAAAAATGTATATCGAAAAATGTAAATTTTCTATATTACACTATTTTTTTAAGATTATCTAAAATTGGAATCCTGAAAGATTCTGGGCGTATTTTTTTGTTCTTCGGTAGTGAGCCAGAAGAGGTTCATTTCTGTTTTTTTTGAATAGGGAAGATCTTCTGGATCTCTTCCACCTCTTCTTTTTTGATAGGTAGTTTAGACGGCAGAGGCACATAACAAACATGGCGTCGTTTAGTCTAAATGGCATTAATAAATTTATGAATGCAGATATATTAGAATGTGAGCTGTGTTATAAACGTTTTTATGGTATGACAGTCTTAGTACTCATTAGTAGGACATCCCTGTAGGACGATAAGCTGGATAAATATAAGAACTACATGGACAATAACAGTTAAGGGACGACTTTTTGATATTCTAGGGAAGGGATTTTGATTGATTGGTGTTTAACGCTATTTTCAACACTAAGTTGGGCTATTCCGTGGTGGTCAAATTAAATTTATAGATGACGGATGGGGAAGACGAAGAGGGCATTATTAAATTTTTTAATCTGTCGCTAATTATGACTATTTTTCAGCTCTTTCCAGTCAACCATATTCATATATGAAATCCTCCTGTCCCCCACCCCAATAAAAGGAATAAATATCAAGTGACTTTTCTTCTTATTTAACACAAGTTTAACTTGATTGATTGTTTGTTGCTAATTGTTAACGCCAAGTGACAAATATGTCATGCATGTTCAGTACTCGGTTCAGGAAAACACAAGTTTATAAGTCAGGTATATAATATAAAAACGAAGAGATGTATGATTGCTAATGAGGCAACTATTCACCGGAGTTCAAATATGAAGTGGATGTAAGCAATTATAGGCTACCGTAATTAAGGCCTTCAACAATGACAAAACCCGATACTGTATTAAAAGTCGTCTATGAAAGGCCCGACTTGAAAAGTGTGAGAAACAATTCAAACGAAAAAACTAACGACCTAATTATACATAACAAAATAATTTACAAAATATCAAATATGAGTCGAGACATGAACCAACGACAACCACTAAACTATAGGCTCCTGATTTGGGACAGGCACACAAAGAATATGGCAGGGTTGATATAAAAACGAAGATAGCCAATGAGACAACCCTCCACAAGAGACCAAATGACACAGCAATTAACAGCTAAAGGTCACCGTACGGCCTTCAGCAATAAGCAAAGCCCATACCGCATATTTAGCTATAAAAGGCCCCGAAATCACAAATGTAAAACAATTCAAACGAGAAAACTAACGGTCTAATTAATGTACAAAAAAATGAACGAAAAACAAATATGTAACACAGCAACAAACGACAACCACTAAATTACAGGCTCCTGACTTGGGACAGGCACATACATACAGAATGTGGCGGGGTTAAACATGTTAGCGGGATCCGGCCCAACCCGCCCCCTAACCTGGGACAGTGGTGTAACAGTACAAGAACATTTATGTGAGCGCTCAACCCTTCCCGAAGCTGGGACAGTGGTGTAACAGTACAATATAAGAACAACCTGCACAAATCAATTGCAATTAGATTAACTCAAAAGATCGGTACGAGACACACAAAAAAAAACTTACATTAAAACAATAGACACAAAGCACCGAAACAAGAGTATTTGCAATAACAACTAGTACTGAAATAAATCATGTTCTCCCAGACTGAAGTATCAATCAGTACACAACCAACGGATTTACTAAAAAACATTTTGTGCAGTTTAAGATTATTCTTAAAAATCAAATAGTGGGGGTTTAAGCCAGATTTGTCTAGCAAAATTGAGTCAGAGGAAAGAACAAAGAAAAATGTCACGAACAGAGCACACGTTTACAGTCATGTCTACTGGACGTATCTTAATTTTCTATAAAACAATCGTAAACTTCATTTATGTCATCCAACATAACAACAATCTGCTATATTCGACGGCAAATTGAATTTTTGTTTTATTGATCTTCCGTAGAATATCTCCAGTAGAGGTCCAGATTCATTTTTTTGGACTCTTCACCAGTAGACATTCTGGAGATGTGCAGAAGCTTTAAATATTATTCTGTGTTTTCATATTTGGGAATAGATATATTCATCAGAGAATTTATTATCTTTAGACATTATAATATACTGGGAACAATAATATATGTGAGAAATATTTATTATATACTTAGTAGTAAATACAGATAAATTGTATGTGTAATACAATCATTGGCAAGCGTGCTGTATCCACCACCCGTGATGATTTCGATATCAGCACGGTTGCAAAGGCATTATCACACCTTTAATCTGTATGACATCACGTCATCGATTGCAGTCACTGTTGCAAACCCTAATTTGTATGACGTCATGTCAAACCTACAATCTGTATGATGTCATTTCAAACCGCCTTATCTGTATGACGTCATGTCACATAAAAAGCATCTACGTGAGGTATATGTATATGATAAAGTGTATATGATATGGTTTTTTCAATATCACACACCGTATCAACCCTCAACCAATATAATCCCTCGAGCAGAGCTCTTGAGATTATATTGGTGTCTCAGGTTGATACGGATGTGATATTGAAAAAACAATATGATATTCTCTATATATTTAATGATTGATAGCATATCCGTTGAGAACAGTTATCTGTTAACTAATAACTATTGGATTATCAAAAGGTGGACGTTTAAATTGATAGTATTTATCAACCATACTAGGATAAGAAAATTCAAAATTCCTTCTGCAGTGTCTTGGATAAAAACACGCAACATATATTTTTTTTGATATCTGAAAGAGGGACAAAAGATACTAGAGGGACAGTCAAACTCGTAGATTGAAAACAAACTGACAACGCCATGGCCAAAAATAAAAAGACAAACAGACAAATAATAGTACAGATGACACAACATAGAAAACCAAAGACCAAAGACTAAAGACTAAGCAACACGAACCCCACCCATGACTGTTAATAAATTAAGTTTTGTAAAATAAACATCATTTTGTTAAATTGTTAGTTTAAACGCTTTATTGTGATGCATTTTTAAAACTATCATGCATTTATTCTAGATGGTAAATCTTCCCTTCGGAGATTTAAGTTTGATGAATTGTTAATATGGTTTTTGTATGTATTTGGTTATACTTTCGTTATTTAAATGACTGATATAGTGCATGCTGTTTTTATATTTTCAGGTTTACTAACTGTTGCTATTTATCCAGCTAATGCTGATGTCCTGCAGGGACAATCTCAATTAATCACATGTTTTGTAACTGGAGAACCACCGGCCCTAGCCATTAAATGGTATTTTACACCAAATGGTTCTGAACGACAACAAATATTAACAGGCAATGCTGTCAAATATTCTGGTGGAAACACTCAGAATCCTTCATTAACAGTACAGAACTTCCAATCATCTGATAGTGGAAGCTATGTATGTTATGCTTT